GGTCCCAGAAAAAAAAAAGCCACAAATGTAATAGTTCTTTAGAACTTTCTGAGCACTGATGCATTCCTGACTTATCAGGCATTACCTTCCCTGCACCGGCTACACACATGCACACACACACACACACACACACACACACACATCTTCCCCATAAGGGCTCTGCATGTCAACTAATTTAAGCAGTTCCTGGCTTTAGCCAACAGCGCATGGAAAACAGGGGTTCTTTTCAGGAAAGTCTTGCCCGAATGTGATAGATGAACGCTCTCAGGGCCCAGGCCCCACTGGGAGCACCCCTAAGAGAGGTAGAAGTACAATCTCCCTTTGCAGACACTGTCCACCAAGAGATTCAGCTCTGAGGGTCAATGTCATTGCATAGACTAACAAGAAATAAGATAGTTTTTCTATCTCAGAACTGGGGGTGGGGGGTGGGCAGGGAAGGTGGACAGAACAGCACATTTCTTGTTTTCTGATTTCTGGGAATTTAAAAGTAGTCTTTAGTTTTCTTTCTTTTTTTTTTTAATTTTTAAAAGTTTATTTATTTATTTTGAGAGAGACAGAGACAGCACGAGTGGGGGAGGGGCAGAGAGAGAGGAGGAGAGAGAATGAAACCCAAGGAGGCTCCGCACCGTCAGCACAGAGCCTGATGTGACAATCAGACCCACGAAACCATGAGATCATGTCCTGAGCCGAAACCAAGAGTCAAGACGCTTAACCGACGGAGCCACCCAGGTGCCCCATAGTTTTCTCAAAGTAAGTTGTGTTTCCAAATCCTCCTACTGCTGAAACATTTTCTAAGAAAAGGCAGTCTTTGACCATCAATACATATTTAGGAGAGTCAGAAATGCTAAGTTGGACCATTTCCTCTGGCAGGAGAATACGTTATTACCAACCTCCAGCACGTCATCTCCAGAAGATGGAAGCATTCCCTCTAGAACAGCCACACAGCCCACTTTGGGGCTCCAACTGGATGGCTTTGGGCAGTTCACCTGACACCTCTAGAGGTCTCACCAAGACACCTCCTAGTTTTAAATTGTGCAATTCAGGGGCACCTGGGTGGCTCAGTCGGTTAAGCGTCCAACTTCGGCTCAGGTCATGATCTCTCGGTCCGTGAGTTCGAGCCCCACGTCAGGCTCTGTGCTGACAGCTCAGAACCTGGAGCCTGTTTCAGATTCTGTGTCTCTCTCTCTCTGACCCTCCCCCATTCATGCTCTGTCTCTCCCTGTCTCAAAAATAAATTAAAAAAAAAACATTAAAAAAATTAAAAAAAAAATAAATTGTGCAATTCAACTCGACTATGAATTGATCTAGACCAGGGGTTGGCAAACTACAGTTTTCCTGGTCAAATTCAGCTTCCTGCCTGTCTTTGCAAATAAAGTTTTATTAGAACATAACCATGCCCATTTGTATGTTTAATCCATGACTACTTTCGAACGACAATGGCAAAGTTGAGTAACTGCAACAGAGTTGCCCGCAAAACCAAAAAATATTTGTTGCCTGCTTTTTTACAGAAAGAGTTTGCCAACTCCTGGTCTTGAACATTAGAAACTGAGATAGGTTGAGCGAGACAATGAGCAACCAGGTATTCTGTAGGGAGCTCACAGCAAACCATCCATAGGCCGGGAATCTATTTATATTTTCAGTCTTTGCCACCTACTGGGATCACCCAGCAGGCGGCAAACTTATGGAACGTGTTAAATAGAACTTTCTTGTCGTTGTCCTCATGCTGCTGCCTCTAAGTTTCGGTGAGTGGCCCTTGGCAGGCAGGCACACCTGGCCCCTCCCTTTCCGTCCCTCCGCCATCCCATAGACTTCCACCACATCTCTCTGCTCACCCTTCCTCTTTCCAGACTTGACTCTTGGGTTTATTTTTTAAAGTCTGTCCTTAAACAGAAGCCTCTCCCTCCCCTCGAGCGTTTTAATTGCTCTTCTCTGGCCCATGTCCAGGTTCATTATGTTTCGTGGGAAGCCTATGGCCAGAACTACCCACTTTCAGGAGCAAACTTCGGTTTCAAACAAAGAGGGAAGTTTTGGCTCTAAGGCTTGGGGTTAGAAGGCCAAGCTTTGTGGACGACATGGGCTGGAACCCTGCCTCTTGAATTTTCTCGTTATGAGGCCTTAGTCAGTAACAGCCAGGCCACCTCCAAAACCTCTAAGGTGGTTGTGTGAACTGGTGACACATGGGGCTCAGTGCAGAGGCTCATAAAAGCACACTCAGGATCTGCGGTTGGCTGTTGATGCTCTTTGTGGGGGCTTCTGTCTTTAGAGAAGTCACTTGTATATTTGGGTGTGTGGATAGATAAACAGGTAGGTAGGCAGGTAGATAGATAGATAGATAGATAGACACATAGATACAGTTGACATTGCAACTGACTTCTCTGAAGATAAGTCTCTCTCTCTCTATATATATACATATTTATGGATACATATATATATGTATATAGAAGCATACATATACATATATATATATAAATACACAAAATCTTAAATATATACACATGTATGTAATATTTATGTAGTTGTGTTAGGTGTGTATATACCCACACGCAGTGTGTGTGTGTGTGTGTGTGTGTATACACACACACATATATATAGTGTATAAATATATACTATATACTGCCTTATATATACACATGTATTTATTTATAAATATTTGCAATAGACTTAAGACTAACCAAAGATATCTTGTTTCCCAGCTGAGCGCTAGGCTCCTTGTAGGGACTCAGCCTCACCCATCTTTCCGCACACGCAGGAGCCAGTGTGGCATGTGACATACCTGCCTGGGTGAAGAAACCCGGAAGGCCACCGTGCGGCTCAGAAAAATGAATTCCAGGAGAACCTAAATCTCTAGGTGAGGAGCTCCAACTGCTCGAGAAACACTTGTGAATTCACGTTCTAGGCTGAACGGCTTTCAGAGCCCTTGTTTGAAAAGTTATTTAGCAAACATTTGTTGAACATTTCAAATGAGCCAGCTCCCTTCAAACAGGGCATGTCCTTCGCACCTCTAAGTATTGGTTTACAACTCATTAGCCATTTGACAGGGCAGCTGGGAGGGCAGGGGTCGAAGAGCAATGTAACCCTGGAGTGTCCCACGCCACTGTCACCTGGAGGTCCCGCATCCCTGCGACATTAAGGAAAGCCCGTGAGAACACGTTTCCATTCACAAGCACCTACGGCAGGCTCCAATGTTTAGCAGATACAGAATATCCAATTCCTTCCGGGCTCCTACCTGGGTGCCCAGCATCCCATGAGTGTCGCTGAACCGCTTTCCCCCCGAGAAGTACCTGGGATGGCCTTGCGGGCAGCTCGACCGTCCCTCCGCTGCTAGGGCCACGACGACAGGTATTGGCCGGCAGAGGCTCTTGTCCCACATGTCACAGTCCAGCACGTCAAGTACAGACAGCCCAAAGGCCATCATCTGGGGGCTGAGGGGAGCCCGGGGTGCCCCCCGCCCCCCCCCCCCGGATTGGCCCCGGGTAACTCCTGAGTGTTTCAAAAAGCAAAAAAGTTTCCAGAGGCCTCCGCTTGCGGCTCCCATTACCCCGAGCAGACCCCTATCTCTAATAGAGATCACGCATTAATGACAGAGACAAGTCCTCAGGAAGATTAAAGGCCTTGTATAATTAAAAAGATAAGAGCAGGCCTGGGAGAAGGAAATTGGGATTCAATTAACACGAGCGCCCTCCCCCCCGCCGCTCCCCCGCTATCAAATGTTCCTCTCACAAGTGGCCTCTCGACTCACCGACTCACCGAGAGCCAGAGGCTGAAGGGCTCTTATTTATGGCCTGCTCGAGTTGGGCCCGGGGCCTTCCTCAGCCGGGGAGTCTGTTTACTTAGAGCTCAAGAGGGGAGGGGAAGAGCAACACAAATCCTGCAGGAGGAGGCAACAAGGTGCTTTTGACTCCTTTTCTTTTCTCGTCTCAGCTCCTCTGATCTTCTTGACAGGGGAAGAAAAATACTCAATAGAAGGTCTATTTCCTTCCTCCTTCAGCCTGAGGCTGACACAACAGGCTAAGGGTCACTGCTGAGAAAGCTCTGTTGGGGTTATTTGTGTTGGGAAACCAAAGCCACTTCCCCCTTTCCGTCTTTCTCAGGTTTCCATGGAGGCAGAGGGAAGATAAGGTTGGAGGAGCAGCTGCTCCAAGGGCCTGTGGGACGGGACATGTGGGGTGCGCCCGCCTCAGGGAGCCTCACTCCCGATGATCTTCTGAAGGACCCGGAAGGGGGCGCAGAGTTCACTCGGGTCCGGGGTCCGAGCTGGAGCTGGTAGGGTGGGGACAGCCTGTGGGCGTCAACAAAGAGCAGAGGGGACCCCAGGCCTGTGGGAGTTAGTCCCAAGGGGCCTCTACTCATCGCTCCCACTTCACGGCTCACTAGCGGCAAAGGCAGATCTAGGCCCCAGCACCTTCTGGAAACGGAACATGGCGGTCTATTTGGATGGATGGACTACGCTTTTGAAAGACTGTTTCCGTTGAAGGATGGTGAAGCCCACGCTGTTGCAGCTTCTGTCTCTCTCTTTTCCCAGGGGTACCTGGAACCCTAGTCAGAACTCTCCCCACTAGAAATCAGCTCCCAGTCAACTTTTGGGACTTCGAGGTGTGCAACCAGGCCAATGGCGTCCATGAGGCTAAGGAGGATGGTCTTCAGGAAACTAACGCAGGGCACCTGGGACCAGGAACCCACAAAACAGCACAACAGCGGGAAGGAGTGGAGAAATTTGCAGATAAAGCATAATAATCAAGGTATTAGATCATGTCCCATGCCCAGTTAATCATCTTGGAAGCTCTTTTCAAAGTTGTACATTAACCTCACTTAATATGCCCCAGACACCCGAGGCTCAAGACGTCTAAACCCAAACTCCACATTTTAACCTCCCAGTATCTTATCCTCCTGTGTTGCTTATTCTAGCAAATGCTTCTGTTAGGACTTTCTGAGCCTTAGTTTTTCAATCGACAAAACAGAAGGAACCCTGCCAGCTCTGTCTCCCTCAGAGTTGACAGAATCGAATAGAGAGCTCAGAAACAGACACATTTTGCAAAATGTAAAATACGAGGCAGTTCGTCAAAGCCGCAGACCTTGGCCCTCCTCTCGCTCACTGCCCATGTCAGTCACGTCCTCGCCGGCTCTCAAAGCAAGGGCTCCATCTCGCACAAAACGAGGTTGCAGTGACACTAAGTGAACTGCGATGGCCGGCCCCTGTAGGTGACAGACCCCTGCAACCCCTCATGAAGAGCCCCAGAAACGTCCCTCGGATGCAACACACAGCCATTTTCATAGAACCCCACGGAGACTGAAACTGAACTGTTAGTATGGAACAAGGAGTCGACAACGATGGCAGGGATTTTAAGCCAGATGGGAAAGGGGAGGAGCTGCCTAGTAGGCTTGCCAAAGAGCTATTTGGAGCAAGCAGTGATGTGGTTATAGAGCAAAGACCTTAAAGACCACCCCTCATTTCCCAGAGGAACCATTTCAACCGAGAGCGGGTGTGGTCATCAGCCTTCAAGATGGTCTCCTAGAATTCCTGCCCTTGTGTTGTCTCTCTCCCAGACTGACTAGGGCTGACCTGTGCAACCAACGGAATGTTGAGGAACTCACAATTTGTGACTGCTGAGCCTAGATCATAAAAGCACATTGTGACTGCTATCTTGGATCACTCACTCTGCGGAAAGCTAGCTTCCATGTCACAAGGACACTCAAGTGGTCCTATGGAGAGGCCCTCATGGTGAAAAATTGCAGCCTCCTGCCAACAGCCAACAAGGAACTGAGGTCTCCTGCCCATAGCCATGTGGATGAACCATCTTGGAAGAGGACACTCCAGCCCCGGTAAACCCTTCAGATGATGCAGCCCCAGCCAATGTGTTGAGAGACTGTGACTCAGAACCTCCCAGCTACACCACTCCCACATTCCTGACCTGCAAAAACAGTGAGATAATAAATGTTTGCTATTTGAATTCACCGAGCATGGGGTTTATTTGCTATACAGCAAGAGACAACTCACACAGAGGGTGTATATCACCAAGTTATGTTCTGTATTCTCGCAATGTGCCCACAATCATTATCTCATTTCATTCTGATACTTACTTGACTTCTCTGGCTCAGAGGTAGAGAGGCTGCAGGTGGGAGAGGTTAAGTAGCCTTTCCAAGTTCACACGATGCATGATAGCAGAAACAGATGAAGAAGCCAAGGATTCTAACTTCTAATATTTTCTCTGTGCACGCAGTCCAGCTGCTGAACTCACATTATGTGGATATCTGCACCATTAGCCATTTTTCTAGGACCTGCTTTGTTTTGCAAGGATTCCCTATTGAATGTTCTAGGACACAGACGGAGGCAGCATCACCGGTGGATGAAGAGGTTACCTCAACTTTAGCACGACCTGAGAAGCTAGACGGAGTATTCCTGGCCACCATTCAACAAGCCTCAACTGAGCGCCTGCCATATGACAAGTGTCAAAAAAGCCACATCTACAGGATGCATTTCCTAGAGGCACAGTTCAATAGAGAGCCAGGGGGTGAAAAAAAAAGAGAAAAGAAAAATAAGAAAGCTATAACATTTGAGCTTGAAATGTCACAGGGAGCCAAGGAAGTTGTCTGATGGATTGCCCTGTCATCTCCAAGCCAAAAGAAAAAAAAAAAAATTCAGATCCATCAATTTGTTCCTGCCCTTTTAATCCAAACAATATTTTACAGCATCAGAACGCAAAGAAATTATTTTCTTAGACATTCAACAACGCGCGTGGATTGCTGAGCACTTCACCAGAAAGCAGCAAGTGAGAACTACAAGATGTTCAAATGTCTGCACATCGTATTGATCCACATTACACGTAAAAATACACTATAATATACATGGTAGCCTATTTTGCGCCACATGTTCATTTATTTGTTCATTCACTCATTCGTGGGGACCCCACGTTCTACGTGCCCTAGACAACGAGTATGAAAGGACACCTGTATACATGTGTTCCAGCTGCCCAGGTCTAGGACCACCCCTGCCCACGCTGGGCATGCTCCTTCCTCTGGACCACCCCTGCCCACGCTGGGCATGCCCCTTCCTCTGGACCACCCCTGCCCACGCTGGGCATGCCCCTTCCTCTGGCTTGCTTCCTGGGCAGTAGATTTATTCTCGAGCATCCTTTCTTTGGTCCATAATCTAGGATTCTACCACCTGCTCCTTGGATCAAATGTTTGGCTCTTGCACTCGGATCCTGTTGGGATATGTCTTTATTTGCAAAGTAGGCTAAAAAGTTCCCTCTCCTACCACAAAAAGATGATTGGCAGCATGCAATACATGTGCAGAAGTTTAGAGAAGGACAAACCCCACAGGTTGGCTTCATAGCAAAGGCTTCCAAGAGAGGCACAATTTGATGGGGCCATTTGCCAATTCTCAAACAAGGCCTTCCTCCTCTCACCCTCAGGCCTTTACTCACATTTCTGCCTCATCCAAGCAATCTTTCCTGGTCCCCCCAGCCACATTTCTCTTTCTCTGCCCCGTCATACTTGGTTCCTGCACCTCAGCGATCTGCTTCATGTTTGAATTACCCGTGCGTGCGTCTACGTCTCCCTCTACATTGTGAGTCATCATTAGGCATGATTGTGTCTACAACCCTATACAATATCTAGCACAGGGAATAGTGAATCGTTATTACAATGACTACCATTATCTACTCTCATTTAACAGATGATGGAATGAAGGCACAGAAAAATGAAATGGCTTGCTCAGGGTCATACAACTAAAAAGAGGCAGAACTGGGATTTGAACCCATGTCATCTGACTGCAGAGCCTGTGTTCTTAACGCCTTCAGAAGACTGGAAGGTATTTCTTGCTAATGATTCCATACCTGCTGATCTATAATTTCTATCTAATTCTGTTTTCTAGAGGGATCTAAGTCAATAGACGGAAGCTCTATTTTTACATCCCTTAAAATACATTAAGACAGCGCTGATTATGTTTCCTCTGACTATTCTCGTCCTGCAGGTGAAATATCTCTATTCTCTCAAGAGTTCTGTAAGATTGGCTGTTTCTAACTCCCTCACCATTGTGGTCAACCTCTGCTGAATATCCTTGAGTTTGTGATAATTCTCATAGAAGGTGAAACAAACTGAGGGTTGATGGGGGGGGTGGGTGATGGGTATTGAGGAGGGCACCTTCTGGGATGAGCACTGGGTGTTGTATGGAAACCAGTGTGACAATAAATTTCATTTAAAAAAAAAAAGAAGGTGAAACCTGAAAGTAAACACAAGACTTCAGTTCAACCAGTCTGCAGTAAAGGGAAGTGATGGGTCCCTGGTGGAGGTGGGGCAGATGGCAGACTAGGCCTGGAGAAAAGCGTCTCAGAGGGAGACGAGAGTGATACTGCGTCAGAGAAGGAGGCAGAAAACAGGGAGTTGGTAAAGGGTTAGGGAGGCACGTTCCGGGAGCAGTCCGACGTGCCATGAAAACTAAGGGAAGAGGAAGATGAAAGAAGCAAGAGGGTGGCTCACGATGTGAGACTGTGAGTTAAGGGGAATGGGAACTGAAAAGATCGACAGGTCTGGGGATGTGCATGTGAGAGCCGGTGGGAAGAAACGCAGGAGCCATGGAGGAGCAGGCAGTGAGCCAGCAGGGTGATCGTTTTGCTGTCCCTTCCGTGTTGCAAAAGGAAAGGGAGGGGGACGGTGGCTATCAGAAGGTGGAGCAGGAAGCAGGGTCAAGTAAAAGGTTGTTGCTACGCCAAGAGCATCGGGACAGGGGAGTGTTTCCATAGAGAGGAAAGGGTGAATGGGAAGCGCAAGGTTGAAGTTGTTGGAGACAGTGTAAGGGGGAGAGAACCACCATGATGGAAGGTACAGAAGCAGCTCGGCGGTAGAGACAGAAGCATCGAAGGTCTGAAGGTCCAGAGGAGGGAGCTGATTATAACCTTCACTTTAGTGCTTTATGGCATGCCAGTGTCTTCCTCGTTCGTTATTTCATTACATTGTCTACCAATCCTGGGAGGGAGGTGTTACTACTATTTCTAGTTTACGTGTAGGACGACGGAGGTTCAGGTAAGGTAAATGGCTTTCCCAAGGCTGAAAAAGGCATACGATTTTCTGACTTCTAGACTCTTTTTCCTGACCTTTTGCCCGCAGCCTCTTGTGCTGTGCACCAAGGAATTCAGCAAGGTGTGAACCAAGGCCGTGCCCTACAAGGGAAGCAAGAGAAGTGGGTTTCTGGCATCATCAGACATCAAGAGAAACAGCCTAAGCTTACGCTGGTCTAAGGGAGCCCAGCTCCAACAATCTCTTGTATTCTGAGAAATAATAATCCATGCATTATTTTCACTAAGCTTAGTTGAGTGCCGCTGTGTTAAAGAACCAGGAAGTGAGTTAGGACTGGAGTTTTGTGTGGCCAGAGAAAGAGTAGAAGGTACAAGATGTACAAGATGAACCAGGACAGTGGCCATGCGTGGCAGAATGAACAACCAAAGAGTGAAATGCCTGCACAGAAACCCACAGCGATAAAAGGGGATCGATCCATGGAAGCAGATAGCCTGAGAAGGTCCCCAGAGTGCTGAACCCAGAATTATACACATGTGCAAGTCTGATGGCGAAAGTAGCTACAGAAACTGAGAGACCCTAGGGTTAAATGAATATTTTGGGTGAAGTCAAAACATTGACTTTAGGTCTGGGACCGCCCCCTCCCCCCGCAAGAAGGCTGCAAGAGAAAGCATTTTGACTTGGAGAAAGGACGTGATCAGCCAACAGAGCAATGAAACTGTCCATGAGAAATCAAGCTGGGAGGCTACTGGAACATGATTCTGGAAGCCAAGACCAGAATCCTGGCAATAAAGATGGGAAAAGATGTTATGAAGGGAAACATGGATAAGATGTGATTATTGAGTAAAAGAGAATGAAGAAGAAGGGGGAGGTCAAGGATGACTCTTGATCCCCATTAAAGTGGCAGCAACATTGTTGGATAAAGAAAAATGTGAAGGGTCACAGTTTATGAGGAGAAGGGAGCATAAAGGAGCACAGGGGTATAAAATCCTTTGATAGGTATCTGGAGATGCAGACTAAAACTCCTGACAATGGTCGAGCCTAAGCGATGAAGATTTGGACGTCATCAACAAGGAAGAGGCATGTGACTTCTTGAGAATGGGTTATAAGGGAAAGAAGAAGAGAGGTGTTATGGTCTGAGTTTTAGGTCACACCGAGGAGAGGGTGACAAGCCAGAGAACTATTTCGTAGAGTGTCAGGAAGAAGCATTTCAATTAAAAACAGGACAATAATGGGAGATACCAGAGAAAAGGGCTGAAGGCATTAAAACTTAGAGGTGATACAGAGGCCCTAGGTGTTCTTGGGACCAGTGCCTGGGATTGGGGACAGGGAGAGTCATATTTTTGTGTGCAAAGAGTGGCCTAGGTCTAGACGTGGAACAGAGGTCCAGAAAAGGAAAGACTGTGAATTTTCCTAGAGGGAAATACTTTTCCTTAGGAAGGGGAATTATAAAGATTTAGAAATTCCTTAAATTTGATACTAAAGATTCATTAACAGCAACTAACAAAAGCCTCAGGAACTTGGAATTCTTTAAGGCAATGGCCAAACTCTCTTTGCTCCCAGAATGCTGCTCTCAAGGTGTTGCCAGGGTAAAACCAAATGCCTGGAGGCCCAGGCTACATCTTTGAGGTTGCTAAAAACTGGCCTCCATCTCGTGCTGCCGCCTTGGCCTCTGAGCAGGTATGTAAATAGCTTCACCATTGTCCCCAAATCAATATACCCCTGGAGGACCTTGGCTGTAGCTAGAACTTTATAGCAAATGCATGACAGGAAACCCATGAGAGCATATTTCCATCTGTGTACAAAGAATCCTTAGAGCTGCTTGCATTTTTGTGAGCTGAGAGAGCTTTGGCAGAAGAATGTCCACCCCTAGTTCTGCTAGACATCTGAGCTCAGTCAGTGACAACGTTCTCTGAACCCCAACTGAACTGTGTGATCTGACCTACAAGTGTATATATGAGGACGATGGGACAAGATATTTGAAACTGTCCCAGCACATACACGTAGAGTCCCATTTGTGTGTTAATAAGAGAGTTCCAGTTAGCCAACACGGGTTTGAGTCTTGGCAACCTCACTTACTCACTATGTGAACTTGAGCCTGTTTCAGACGTTCAGAGCCAACTTCCAATCTCAGACCACTTCATGGTGTTACAGCTGTAAGATGAGCCAATCTACTAAAATGGACCATATGATATAGAAACACTTATAAATTATAAGATGCTATATTTTATTATTATTATTATTATTATTATTATTATAGTGCCAAGAAATGGCAAGGAAGCCTTTCTTTAAGTTAGACTTGAGAGCCTGGAGTTTAAACACTTGACAATGATTTTCCCTGCCTGAAATTTTTCCTCATCTGCCATTCTGAACTCAGTAATACATAGCAAGTCTCCATTTGCCAGTTATCCTCAATCATTTTTCACAGAGAAACTTCACAGCCCCGTGCCCTCTAAAATAAATTTGGAACTAAGTCAGTAGGTTTGGAGAAGAGAGTTTGGTGAGCTGAAACTAATAATTCATTCTGGGGCCTGTGTCTCATGTTCTCGTGACGTAATTCCAAACCTCGACTCCCTTTTGGACTGGAGCTATCAGAAAACATCCATGTGGCCTTAGTCTGGGAGTGCTACAAAACACATCCTCTGGGCTCACTTCAAATGCCAGGCACTTTCCCATCCTGTTTCAAATACAAAATGTAATCCAACCCTCAACGCAGCTTCTGGGTTGAAACGACTCGTCCCACTTAATAGATGAAGACACTGAGGACAGAAAAAAATTCAGAATGTGCCCAAAGTCATACAAATAAGTGTCAGAGACGACATTTTAACCCCTTTCTTCATCTCCTACATTCTTTTCATTATACAACTACTATAAATTAAAAAAAACAACAACAGTCTCTGTGAACTAAGTGAATTATTTGGGCCTCCTTCTCATGGTATTTTGACTCAAGAGCGTCACTGAATCCTCTGGTCCATCAGCCTGAATATGACAAATTATCCCACGGAATGGACTGTGGAATTCAGAGGCAGATCCACATGTGTATGGACACCACTTAATATAGAACACAGCCAGCATTACAGATCAACCAGGAAATAATAGAGTATTCAACAAATCTTGCTGGGACAACTGGTCAACCATAAAGGAAAACTAAATTGAAATTCTACTTCACCGCATACACAAAATCAATAGAAAATGGCTTAATAATTTAAATGTGAAGAGCAAACTGTAAAACTTTAGAAGAAAGTGTGGGAGGAATATCTTTATGACCTCAGGATAAAAAATACTTTTATTTGAAAGCACAACATAAAAAATAAAGCTCATAAAGACAAGATTGTTAATTTTGACTGTGTTGAAATTGAGAACAAGGGTTCATCGAAATACACTATAAAGAAAATGAAAAAGACAAGTCACAAACTGCAAGAAAATATTTGCAACACACAATCAACAATAGATTTCCAGAACAGAATTTCTGAAAATCAGTACAAAAAAGACAATTTAACAGAAACAGTCCAAAGAAATCATGAGTAGTCACTCACCAGAAAGGAAAGCACAACCTGCCAATAAACATACAACATTCATTCACCATCACAGGCAATCAGGAATATTAAAATTAAAACCACAATGAGAAACAATTCCACACCCCAATATTTGAAAGTCTGATAATACCAAGTATTGGTGAAGAAGTGGATATTCTTATTGCTGGTGGGAGTGTAATTAACACAGGACATTGAAAACCGTTCAGCATCATCTAGTATATTTGAAGATATGCATACCCTATGACCCTGAATTTATACTCCTAAGTCTGTAACACACAGGCACACACACACACACACACACACACACACACAGCACTTTACCTGTGCAGCAAGAGACATCGAAAAGAATGTCCATAGCAGAATAGCTATCATAGAAAAATATACTGGAAACAAATCAACAAAGCAAATGTTCATTAACAGGAAAATGGATAAATAACTTTTGGTATATTCCTACACTAAAATAGCATATAGCCACGGAAAGAAAGTAGAGATGCAAACGTCAACAC